TTTACCAAAGACTTTACATCCTAATGCACCACTTTTGAATCGATTTTTGTCCAAATTTTATTTTTTTAACTAGAGTGCCATGATCATCCTAAAATGACTCTACATACTTTACTTAATTTCAGTAAAATACTCAATTTTATCTTTGTAAACTTTTTTGATACAGGGCTGTAAACTCCATTATTTCAGTTTTTTTGCCCTAGCTCAAAAAGTAGAATAGAAACATATCACTTTCATACAGGGCCGTAGCCAGGGGGGGGGCATTGGGGGGCAATGCCCTACCTTTCAAATGATCATGCCCTACCTTTAAAGCGCAACATGCGTTAAGGTTTCTCTAGGAAATTTGAGAGTAGATAATGAAAGAAAAGGCCTGAAATCCAGTAAGTGCGAGGGTGTTTCCGAAAACTCCTAAATGTATGCAACGCCGATGTTTGACGTTTACACAGAGGAAGTTTTTCGTTTCGGAAGAGTGCAAATGCAAGGATAATACGATAATACACACTACTACACAGGATTGCTTATCGGCCTCATCTGTGGAAATTGCGGCCATATGGTATAACACTAGTGATGACATCATCAACTACGTCGTCAACTGTTTTCGCCAGCGGTCGTAGAGTCGTAGTTTAGAATATACATTCATGATGAAAAATGTTATCATGGTATCTGTTGTGAAAACACCCTACGTCAAGGCGAGAAACGACACGCTGCCTACGTAATCACTGGTTCTTTGGCGTGGTGGGGGGCTTGAGATTTGATATACGCAGGCCTTATGATGATAAGCTATCCTGTAATAGTCGTAGTAGTTATGGCGAAGACCGCCATTGGTGAAATTAGTGCAAAATACATGTATTTCTGTCACTTTCTTTTACATCATGCTAGTAGGACACGAATGCACTCAGTGTGCACTGAACTTACCAATGGATTTCACTATTTGTGTGTATTATTCTTGGTGCGAATGATCCAAGGCGGCACGAGAATCAGCGCCATTTTGTTTACTTGCCAGGGATGTTATTTATTGAAAAATTTGCCTTCGGCGCCATTACCACCAGATTGTTTAGCTATAATTTGAAGGTGGGGGGGGGGGGGGGCAAGTAGTGTATGCCCTATGTCAAATTTGTCATGCCCTATCACACATTTGACTCTAGCTACGGCCCTGCTTTCATAACATTACTAAATACAGTATTTTGAAGCGAATCCAACGATATAATACACTACGACATTTTTCTCAATTTTCGTTCATATACTTATTTTTGTAGGTAATTTTTTTTTTCTACTTAAAATTTAATTTGAAAACGAAATTTGGACAAAACTCGATTTAAAAGTGGTTCATTAGGACGTAAAACGGATCTGTAGAATCCGATAAACAAAAAATATACAGGGTGTGCCATTTGAAAATCAAAAGTTTCGTAATTTCCGGTGAAACCGGAAGTCAGAAAAAGTTGTCATAAATGCATAAAAATGGCGTTTGGTTAGAATATCAACCCTACCAAATTTCGTTGATATCGATGAACAAATAAAAAAATGGCAGCCGGAAAGTAATCTCGTGGACACCCGGTATACCACTGGACATTTTTTCAAAGTTTTTCAAATAGTACGACGTAGTTGCTACAACTTGAGAAAAAAATTTAGTAGCAATCAAGAAGAAAGGCTACAAACAAAAAGCCTGTCGATGTTTTGTTTTTATTGGTATCGAAAAAAACGTTCTTATACATTTTTGTATACCCGCTCGTTAACAAATTTGATAGGCCGTTAAGTTAATCATTTATTTGAACATGCCGACGCCCGTATGAGTCGGTCAGTACATTCAAAATCCTAATTTATTAAACGGATCCAATTTGTTAACCAAGATCAAAAGTGCGGGCAGGTCTAATAATTCAATTATTCGTGTTTTTATTGTGATACATTCAGCTTTGACCTTTCATCCCTGATATCGGTTCTTCAAAAAAAAAAAAACAATCAAAGATTCCTATGGTTTTTTAAACGAATGTCTTAGCAATATTTTTCTTTAATTAATAATTTTGTCAAGGAACTTTAATGTCAAAATGACATGTCAAAAAATCTGACCAATAAGGGAAAAATAATGCGACGTACGTTTTCGTCGAGGTTTTCGTAATCAAAGCAATCTTTGATTGTTTTTTTTTTTTTAAGACCCGATATGATACCATTTGGGCACCGCGGTATTATAGGGAAGCTGTAGAAAATGTCTCTATCTAAAAAGCTTTTTTAACAAAATCAATAGGATAGGTGCCATCTATATATAGGACAGCGTTATCATCAGGGTATCAAATTTCACAGACAATGGCTGCTAAGATATTTTGCGTTTACCATCAGTTTTATTTGACAACCCTGGCAAAGAAATAGAGAATTGGCTCAATGACACTATCTTTGCTTCATTCTGGTTGTGACTTTGAAGGCTTTTGGGTCCGTTGTTGGTGAGGACAGTGGCGTTCATGTTATCGTGAAGCAAACGTATGTTGATAAGTTCAAGCGGACAACAATGCCAGTATTTTTCGAAGAGCTGCTCGATTAATAGAGTCAAATACTTTGACAATGGTCTATAACTGCCATATACATTTTTTTTTCCACACTACTGTGCCTTATCGCGTTTCTTGAATGTAGTGACAATAGAGGCGTCAAGCAGATTTGTTGATATCATATTAGTGTTCCATGTTTTAACAATAACCTTGTATGTGTGCTCGACTAGCGGACGGCCGCCTGGGCTGGGATTCTGCAACGAATAGAGATATTTTCTCTATCTCTATTCACGTCCCCTCAAGTGCCATATAGCGATGAGGATCACGATCTCTATACATTACAGAATCCCAGCCCTAATGCCCTTAAAAGGTCACCAGAGACTCCATCTAACCCAGCAGGTTTGTTTGTCTAGTAGGACTTTCTATTAAGAAAAAGATTTTTTGAAAAATAAAAAATAATAGAAAAAAAAAAATTTTGAGATACATGGTGTCAAACTTTAAAAAAAAAAATGTCTTTTTTGCTCAAAAATCCCTTTGTCGATTTTCTTTAAGTTTGGCAGGTTTGTTTATAAAAACAAAAGGTATCCTTTGACTCAATTAGATTTACCGTAAATATTCCAGTGGCGCCCTCTGGGGGCAACTACGTTGGTAAAAGTAGAAAAGAAATGGCACGTCACTGTTTTTTTATAACTTTCATATTTTTTTTTAGATTAAGCAATTCATATTACTTTTTTTTTGTCTCTCGATTTTTTTTCGTATCTCTTTTGTAGTTTGCCCTCTGGGGCGCCACTGGAATAATTACGGTGAATCTAATTGAGTCAAGATACCTTTTGTTTTTACAAACAAACCTGCCATATTTGAAGAAAATCGGCAAAGGGATTTCTGAGCAAAAAAAAACATTTTTTTCCAAAGTTTGGACACCCTGTATCTCGAAAACTAAGCATTTGCGGACCCATGTTTCTATTAATTTATTTTTATTTTAATGAGTTCTATTATCCTAGTTTGATCCCATTATTTATTAACACCCTGTATATTTCGACCTACCATGGTCATGTGTATCTGTGGCATCAGTAAAGTGTCGTGCGTTGGTTGGCAATATTTGGTCTCAACAAGGGCCCAACTAGTGCAAAAAAGGGTCGGCAAATGGCTAATCCGGCCGAGAATCCGACGTCAGTAACTAAGGTCAGGTCGTGTGAGGCCACGTGGGGCCGACGTCCAAATGTTCAGTTTCCGTTTTAATTCCAACTTTAATCGCTTCATCACTAATTTTAACTTTTGATATAGTAATTAGTGATTTATTAACTATTATTTCTTCTTAGTTTCCGTTCTTATTCTTTGTTTCTGTTTCATTTCAATTTTTTAAAGGAAATAAAGTTTCTTGACATAGGTACCTATTTCATTTATTAATTTTAATCATACCTAATCGAAATCGTACGACAAAATCGCTGAGTCTGAAGAAGTCATTGGTGCTAAAACATGCTACGGCTTTAAATAATTGGAAATTGGAAATTTGAAAACCATTTTTCGTTTCCTGTAGAAAAAAATTCTCAAAATTTCAGTTGTCTTCCTGAATCACATTAATAATTTGATTACCTATTCATTTTTAATTTAACGAAAAACATTAACAATTTTCTTTTGTCGGTATTGACTCGTTTTGCAAAGTTATTACCACTAATTTGGTTTTTCACAAACAGGAAGCCTATTTTGCTAGTAGGTATAGCAATTCTTTCCAGGAAATTTGAATTTCAAATTGCCTGATGGAAAATTTTTCATTACCTATGTCGAGACCTATGTTTGCCTATGTATTCTGGGAAAATAAATTTAATTTATTTTTCACGTCTTTCAACTTGAACATTTACATAAATAATTAGCCTATGCATGATGCAAAATTCATCTTATTTTTGTTATTTTATCGTTGGCAATTATTATCTTAATTTTACGCGGAATCAGTTAATTAGGTATATCCTCGGGTATATCGATCGTTTGCTTGTTTGTTTATAGCAAATTTACCAATCAATTAGGCATGGCAATCGGCAAAGCCCTGCTCCAAAAGCATCATTTTATTCCGAACGTCACTGAATTCTTCGCAAAACCAAAAAGAAAAGTACAACGATATTTTTATCTTGATGTAGCTTGACCTTTCGTATCTATTGATTTAAATAAATTATCATGTCAAGAACACTGAAGTCAAAGTCGCTAGTTTTTAATAGAAAAGTTAATTATGAAATTGAAAAGCAGTCATCAATTAATTAAAAAAAAAAAAACAAGTTAACTATGGTATGTTGCCTGTAATTGAATATTGCCAAGAACGAGCAAGTATATAGTGTCATTGTTCGCGATTGACCGCAAAATTCAAATAGAATTTTTTTTTTTCAAATAATTATTTTTTGATGACTTGTACCTAACTTCATCACATTTTACAACACATTTTTATATGGCAGTTGTATAATTTCAAACGAGATTTCAAAGCAATAAACAAAAATCTATACCTAGTAATAATGTATTGTTTTACCTTATCATTTTACTCACTTTTGTTTCTTATAATTTCAGATGGTTTAATATCCCTGAATGTTTGGTTCTCATTTATTTGATTAGCATCGTCGTTTTTTGCACTATCCACTTGATTAATTAATAAAAGAGGCTCTCCGGCACTCTCATTAGTTTTTATGTCACTACTCATTTTATTATTGTTATTTTTATTTACAAAACTCAACAGAAACACGAAAACCACATCACACGAACGAGTCAGTAAGACCGACTGATGCAGTCAAGGAACGGTAAAAAACAGCTGATCCCAGTTTTATTGTTCTTGTGGTACTAAGAACGTACTTTTTTCATGATAAATCGCGCGCAACTTTGGTGAGGAGGCTCGAACTTCTTGTAACCACAATCGAAACTGCCGTACCATTGCCACAGTACCTACCTACCTCATCAAATTTTGTTGTTAAATCATGGTCTATAAAACTCGACGATATGAAGAAAAGGCAACATTTAAGCCTATTTTAGACCAGATAAAACGAGTGCTGATATGCACCATAAACACTGCGAAGGCCGCACAATAAGCTTAGGTTTTCATCATGTAGGGTACCAAAACAATTACTTAACTAGTTCAGTTGAAATGTTATTACAATATTTTTTTTCAATATTTATTATCTTTTAGGAATATATGTTGATTATTATTATTTAACTGCGAACGTTCAATGTCACTGGATAGGGGCCACGATCATTGTATCATATTTCAAGTTATTTATTTGTATTTTAACCATTTTCACTATCTTATCTGTACTGCGAAAAGCCAGAAAGTATTTAACTTCTAATACCCATTTATATAGTCCCCTATTTATCATAAAAATTTAAATTAGGTTTTAATCGAATACAAATTTACATAGTAATATAATGGTTTCCGTTCCATTAGTGGAGCAGTGTTTTGGTAGCAAAGCAATAGGTACCTATTTATGTCATTAGGCCAAGAAGTAGGTAGGTCTTTTTGTGCTGAGCTCAACGTTTGAGCGAAGCACAAAAATATCTTTTGGGCCGAATGGCATGCAACATGTTATCTTCTCTCGGAACATGGACGCTCGTGTAAACGCGCAGACACATTAATTAGGTACGAGTATATATTTATTCTTGTACTTTATTTATGCAATAATTTAAATCATTGAAAAAAAAATTAAACAGAGAAATTAGTTGAAGGGGATGTGACTTAAAAGTTGTATAGTGCAAAAAAATCTAAGAATAAATATTTAAACCGCATTTTGCTACGATGGTCCGTTTTCGAGTTAGGGCGGTTTAAAGTAACAACTAGGTGTTTGTGACGTCACACTGGATTATCAGAGACAGTATTAACGCGTGTAAAAGTTTTCCAAAACAAAGACAATTATTCCTAGAGCGAATTGCAACCACTCAAAGTGTAGGGTACGGTTCACTGACAACTGAACGAACAGAAGACTGCGATTTCGGCGGTTGTGACATCAAAGTTCCTGCATAGTTTATCTTCACAAGGAATTTTCTCGGAGACTGTTTTGAATAGAGGACTAGTTTTCACGAGAGATCTTAGAATTTTTTTCTTGATTTAAGTTTTTTTTAGGATCACACCCCTTTTAACACGTTGATGGACAGTGCGTCGATTGTCTAAGCAAGTGTTGTGACACTCTGTGTATTTTGCAAAGTAGAATAGGGAAAGTGCTGAATTTCTTTCAGCGCGTATAGTTTATGCAAAAAAGCAGTTTTTTTTTTAATTGTAAACATTTGGACGACGACCATGGACGTGTCGTGTCATATTACATATGTAATGTGACATAACGTTTATAGACGTCACAGACAATTTCCGAAACGCGCACCAAATATTTTTTGTACATAACCTCAATAATTATTCTAGAATAATCATCCACAAATATACGAAATAATACACCCGTTTGAGGTTTTTTGAATGTCCAGTACACAAGAAATTGTTATAATAAAACTATTCACTTTTTATATGCAAATATCCGTATACACCTTATTCAATTCACCAGTTTGTTGAACACATTGTGACGCAACAAAAATAAGTACAACAATGACTGACGGACGTCTACTGACGCTGTGTCATCAGACATGCGTTACCCACCCCCCCCCCCCCCTACTTCTAAACGCCAAGGGTCAAAATGCGATGATAGTAACCTATATTTCGTTGTGCGTGTGGTGACATTATAAAGGACCCCGCCCAAAGTATACGGAAAATGTGTTTATGTCAGAATTGACTGAATTTTGTATATAATGTAGATCATGCCTTTCTGATTAAAAGTTACCATTGCACCAATACTGAAAAATGACTCCACGTAGCACACCACTGCGCCACAAGCTTACCTATTCGTGCTACATTGAGACCATTACAATATCCAAGCGTTTTACTTGCTACCTATGAAATTAATTTTCTCAAAACGGAGTCATTTTTCAGGATTGGTGCAATGATAACTTCTAATCAGAAAGGCGTGATCTACATTACATAGAAAATTCAGCTAATTCTGACATAAACACAATTTCCGTAAACTTTGGGCAGGGTCCTTTGTTCGTGTAGTATTTATATGTGAGAGTCGACGTCTATGGTTGTTGTATCACAACTCGTTATTTTTAAAATGTCGCCTATGGACGTTGTGTCACATAACATCAATGAAAATTAGACGTCTATAGACGTTCTGTTCATCAGCGTGTTGAAATTATGCTCTTATTGCAGCTAATTCCCGAACGTTGACGCTGCCATCTAGCGACAAGAAAACGTAAAATTAACTGCAAGAACATAGGTCTGTTTCTGCAGAAAGGGGACGAACAAATTACCCTACCCAGCAAATACACTGACGTCGATATGACGACATTTGACGTGATTTTTTGGTCCGCATTTGTCTCTGACGTCATAGTACCTAATAATAACGTCAATAAATACGTCATTATTAGGTCGTCTTAATGACGACATTCCATGATGACATTTTGACGTCATTAAATGGTAAGGAAAAGACATATCTTTTTTGTGATCTATGATATCAATTTGTTATTTATAATTTAGCCGCCCTTAGTTGATCAATAATTTTAGTAGGTATAAATTTATTGAATCTCGAAAAAACGGAAACTTTCTGCCTTATTAATAACTAGCGGCCCGCTCCGGCTTCGCACGGGTATAAAATATATAGCCTATGTCACTCACTGAAAAAATGATTAAAATCGATCCAGTAGTTTTGATTTATTCATTACTGCCCGTGGCCCGCACGCGCTAAATTTGGAGTAAAACAATTCCCCTTTCCCTATACCATAAAGATTTCCTGCTATCTTTGGAATATCTAAATTCATACACTACATTTTTACTTATTTACTTATACATTTTTATTTATTTATTTTATTTTTACAATTAATATATTACAGAATCAACAATGTATTTAGGGTATTTAATTGGATAAGGATTAATGCTGTATTGGTTAAAATCGCTTCCTGCGTTTGCAATGTAAGCGGAAGAAATGTAATTAGTTACGACATCACATTGGAAACCTCAAAAATAAGAGTATTTCTCCACTATTTAATGGATGTCATTATACATATAAACCTTCCTCTTCAATCACTCTATCTATTAAAAAAAACCGCATCAAAATCCGTTGCGTAGTTTTAAAGATTTAAGCATACATAGGGATATAGGGACAGAGAAAGCGACTTTGTTTTATACTATGTAGTGATAATTTTTTATTTTTTAATTATTTGCTATTCACCCAAAGGTATACATACATATTTATTACATCCACAAGGAAATTATAAACATATAATATTTTAAATTACCCGCTTAAAAATGGTAGTCGGACTCCATCTTGACGGACAGCGCCGCGCGCCGGCGCGTGGTGAAGCCTCAAACCTGTTGCCTGTTGGCGCCGTTGGCAAAGGTCATATGAGTAAAAAATTATATAACGCGTGTACTCCATTTACGCAATATGAGAGGCGTTTGATGCAAAAATAAGGGAGATGGAAATATCATTTCTGCATAAGTCTATCTTGTAGTTCGGTCCGTCAAATCTACGCATGCCTATAATCACACAGCACTCATTGGTCGTCGAGCATCGTCCGTCCACTACGAAAACGAGATTATCGATCGTCTGAAAACCATGCTTACAACCCACCAATCACCTCAACTGCATTCAACGCATGCGCACTAGACCAAACCAGGCTGAGCGATAGACTTATGCGAAGTTGATATATCTGTCTCACACATTTTTGCATCAGGGTACAGCAAGAACACGCGTTATATAATTTTTTACTTATATGGCAAAGGTAGACGAGGTGCCGTGCGGATGACTGCGAGAGCGAAATCATGGGAAACCGAAACCGAAACTCGAATAATAATTTCTCTTTCAATTACATACCTCGTATCTTTTCACCTAAGTTTTTACCTATTGATATTTAAGTGTATTGAGAAGAATGATTATAGGCTTGTGGTGGTGTCAAAAATGGCATTTTTTGGGGTGCAATTTGTGTGTGTTATTTCTGTAGTGAATAAAAATTCACTGTCACCGAGAAAACACGTTTTGTGGCCGCCATTTAAACTCTATTTTACTCTATTCTAGTGGAAATTTTTAGGCGCAATTCATACTATACGTACCGACACCGTACCGTCAACGGCACATCAAATTAATAATATTCTCACGACTCACATTGAAAGCAATGGTCGTATTCACACTAGACCTTCACGGCACCGTCACGCACCCAGGGCCGCCAGGGTTTCTCGAGGAGAATAGACACTTTAAGCTAACCCTAAATTTTTGACGTATCCGCATCCGTGAACGACTTGCGTTGACCGCCTAAAAGTCCTTAAAGCATGGCCATGCATACGTTAACGATCGTATCTTTGGATGAAACGTTTTTTAACCTCAAAAAGTGTTGTATTAATTTTGTAGCTGTGTTTGTAGGTTTTGTTTTTAACCATAAGCATGCGCAGATCGATGCGGATACGGATACGTTTTAAATTCAGGACCTGCTTAAAGTGTCTAATATTTGACGTGCGTAGACGGTATAGTGACGTGGTGCCAGTACGTATAGTATGAATTGCGCTTTATGCCAACATTCTTGGCCAAACCAAACTGTCAGCTTAAAATCAGGTGACAGTTTGGTGATAACTTGTGATCGGTTGGAGCCTATGCTTATGCTTTATGCAAAATCGTGTGTGACGTGTCACGTGACGGCCTTGATTACTAAATTAGCTGCAAACGCTGAATGAAACCAACTAAAAATTCAATTTCGAAACTCAATTTTATTAAAATCCGTAAACTCTCCAGGCTTCGAAAATCGAAAAAACGTCAATATACCTACTTTCGAATGTGTATTTATTTTTGTCTCCACTATGTCAGCTCGACTGTCATCTACCGCACAGTTTTTGACTATGAAATTGTTTGGAATTGGAACAAACAAGTTTTCTTTAGTATTCACCTTATGTTGCCATCTAGCGCCTAAGCACCTAGGGATACATTATCAATTATTGGTTGGGTTTGGGTAGTAAATTGTAATAACATAAGTACTTGGAATGGCACAGCCAAAACAGCATTTGTCGCTGAAGCTGTCTCCGCTCCACATAGGAATTTTGCTAACGCTATCCATAATCCATTACAATGAATTTTGTGGAAAGACACGACACTGCCAACGAAACTGATAGTTTCAGACTCCCTCATATAACAAGAAAAATATTGGTGACACATTTGCTTCTTTTTTCGCATAATCGTGCAGTATTGCTTCATTCTCAGTTGCGCGAAATTCGTT